CGTTGTGAGCTAATTTGTAGCATCTTCCTGGCGGCCCTCCAATAAACAACTTCTTCCTTAAATTGTGGCATTATGTTATTTTTGAGATCTGAATTGCAGAGACTGTAACACAAGCCTGCATGCTTCGTCTTGTTTTGCAGAGTGCTGTATAGCTAATTAAAGCTTCCTACCAGTCCATAAAAAGACCGATCATTCAAAAAGCAGTTTGTGTTGAAGACAGCCCCAGGGCAGACTGGAGAAGGGGTTTCTTCATTAACAATAAACACATTTGCTTAAATTCAAAATTAAGTAATAATACATTAACTTGGACTGGAATATTTTTAAATATTGCCTAAGCATAATCAGATCATGTTACCACACTTATGGTGTGGAACCGAAAATGGGTCATGTTCTTGCCAGCAGCACTCCAGCTTCTCAAGAAACACTGGAGATGAATAAATGATTTACCACGTGGCCAGTACTGCATCCCTCTCTGTGGAAGAGAGTTGGAGCTGACTTTATTTACATCAACTTATTATTCTGTTCCTTTTCATTTATTGTTCTTCTGTTCTTATGCCCTTGTTTTCCTTACAGAATGTATTTCAAAACTGGAGTTACACAGCAGCAATATAAATACTCTGCTTCCAAGGGCTTATCTATTATGGCCACTGTTCTGTGGTTACTGTTATAGCTCAGGGACGACACACCTGGTGATGGAGGTGGAGGCCTTCAACCATTGGCATTCCTTTGGGAGACCATCAGAGTGGTATTTTTCCTTTACCTGACTACAGGCTTCGCTGAATGGTGCTATCTCCCTGAGAGGAAAAGTATATGGCTTTCCCAGATTTCCAGCAACAAAGGAATAAATCCCACAAACCAACTCAGGAGCTCTTGTTTAACATGCTTCTAGAGTTAGAATGTCAATGTCGAAAGGAGATTGTTTTTTATGGCCTTTCTAAGTCAGAGTGATCCCAGGGTTGGAACCTTGACTCAGCCCTGAGGGGCAGAGGCCCAGCCTGAGGCCCACAGCCTGAGGCTTTCCCCAGACAAGGATCCATCACCTCATGCCAGAAAACCTGATGTCATTACCCAGAAAGTTTGCACCTCCCAACAATGCACTCTTGCTTCCCAGTTGTCTTCAGACACACAAAGTTGATGCTGTGGAGAGTCTAGGCTCTAGAGGAAAAGGCTTCTGACATTTGCGGACAGAGATATTTGCTAAAGCCACCAGATTTCTCTTCTCCATCCCATTTAAGCAAACTTGGAAAATCTAAGCAACTTTTTTTTTGGCTGGTGTCCTTTGCTAGGGGTCCTTAGGGGAGGGGTTGGAAAGACGGGAGAAACAGAAAAGCAGAAGCAGGTTGGTAAACCTTGGCATCAGGAATGTCGCTCCTTTCCAGGAATGAAAGATTGAACCCCAGGGAGCATCAAGCTTCCACTTCCAGGGGGGGAGGCGGGAGCCTCCTCTCCCCCTCTCGGGCCAGCGCGGGGCTCCATCCGGAGCTGAACCGTCCCGTGCCACGGGTAATGCTGGCGCGTTTAAATCCCTGACGTGTATGCTTTGATCCTTTCCACGACCTTTCGCCTTTCCACGCTGTTTCACGAGGCAGCGCTGGCCTTTATAGCCAGAGCTGCGTTCAGAGGCTGAGCTTTCTCCTCCTTCTGTATAAACAGCAACATCAAAATTCCTTCAAACTGGCTTTTCAGGGAGAAGACACTGTAGAGGAAAAAACTGTATACCTATATACGAATGCGTATTTAATTTTTTCTGTCTCCTTGATTAAACCTGAGATGGGGCGAACCTTAAAAGGGTAAAGTGCGCGGCGCCCGCAGCCCCCCCGCCCGGGACGCAGAGTCCGGTGCGGACTTAGTCGCCTCCTCTGATTTCCTCCGACAGCTCGCGCTACTTTTCTCGGCCATTGTCCCGTGTCCCTGGGGCTCCTTCTTCCCCGTCCCCCGTCCCCCTCGGGGTCCTCGGCGCCTCCTCACCGCCAGCCACAGCCCAGACCCGCGGGTGTCGGGACGCGGCCAGGACGCCCTCCAGCTCCGCGGGCCGGGGCCCGCAGGTGCGCCCCGCCCCGCCCGCGACCCCGCCCCGGCGCACGCGTCACAGTGACGCGAGGCCCGCGCAGGCGCAGCGCGGCCCCGCCCCTCCCCACTGCCGGCCGCCCGCCCGTTCGGTATTATGATTAGCTCTGGGTGCGGGGAATCGGCGGCCGGGAGGGAGTCGTCCGAACCGCGGCCGCTGCAGACGGACGCCCGCCTGCGGGCTGAGGTAGGGGGAGCGCAGATCGCGGCCGGTGCGGCGGCCGTGGGCCGGGGCGCGGGGTGGGCTTCCGCCGCCAGCTACCTCCGCCGTTGCGGGGCTGGCCGCCCGAGCTGGGGCGCCCGCCGCTGGCGGAAAGTAAGTTGCGCGCTCCGCTCCCCGCGCCGGCTGCAGCGCGGGCCCAGGCGGATGCGGGGCCCGGGCTGCGGCGGCCGCGACCCGGTGCGACGGCGACGCGGCCTGGCAGCGAGGCGGCGGCGGGGCCCGGGCGGGAGCCGTCACTGCGGCGACCGGCCGCGGGCGCCCGGAGGCCCTGCCCTTGCGGCCGCGGCGGGATTGCGGCACCTCGGGAGGCGTCCGCATCCCCTCCCCGCCCCGGAGCGGGCCGAGTGCGGCGCCCGCCGGGCCCCGCGCCCAGGTTCTCTCGTGCGGTGTGAATTCTCCGAATGTGTTTTCCTTTTTCAAACGAATCTGGGGATCTGGCCGCAGCAAGGGGGTTCTTCGGCAAAACGGCATCCTTACAATAGAATGAGGATATTGTTGGTAGAGAAAGGGCAACGGGGTAAGGAAGGGGGAGCGGTGCCGTTCCCGAGGGAGAGCTAGATTTTTTTTTTTTTTTAGATTGGGGAACCTCCGTTCTTTTCCGTGGTCATCGCCTGTTGATTTCTTTCTGGACCATTTTACAAAAACCTTCTGCCTTTTACTTGGACTTGGGATCCAAGGCAAGTGACAGCCTTTTATCCGGGGTCAAGGGGCTCCAGGTGTCCTGAACCTGTGCTGGTCCTGACAGTTGGATCAGATATAATCTGATAGCTTCAGAGGGAGTTCTTTTCCAGTCCGTGTTTAGGGGGAAGGTATCAGTAGGACTCTTAAATCCATAGATGTTCTGTGGGTATGAGACCTGTCAACTGTCAAGTTACTTTTTTCCCCCCCGCCATTTAATTGAGTACATTCTCAACGTCTTAGGAACCTATGTTAAAGTTGACTTTAGGCCTTTCTCATTTTATGCTGAAAGGTGAGGCATAAAGTGATGGAACCCCAAATGTTGGGCATCCTGTTGAATTTCACCCAATTCCTGTCAAACATCAGATTCCTCAGTTTGGGTTCCTTGTACAGGGTCAAGACACTATCCTCAAATCAGTTTAATTTATCAGAATCTATATCAGTGTACTTTAAAGCCTGGAGTTGTCAAGACTTACGTAATCACTCTGTTAATTTATAATCTTGTTACATTGCTTTCCAGATTTATAAAATTATTCCCTTAAGGAAATCTGTCTTCAACGTCTGCTTAAATATTTCCCTTGGAATTGGATTCCTGAAGAGGAATGTACTGTACAAGTGGTGTTTAAAGCATATTAATTAGATATGTTCCTTAAAAAAAAATTGATTCTTCTTTTGCCCGACTATCTAATATTTCCTATTAGGAAAACAGATGACATTCCTACTTTATAGAACTAGAATGAGAGAAATTACATCACGTTCCCAAGGTCATGTATTGAAGCAGTATAGTAACTGAAAATCAAGTGCACAGTGTTAACTTTTCTTTATACTCCATCTTCAAGGCTTTCCAGGCAGGGACTTTGAGTACTACCTGCCCATTTTTCAAATGCACACAGTCAGTTTTTTATTTTATTTTGTGCGCAAAAACTACCCTCATCCTGTTAATTTTTTTTTGCCATTCTGAGTAAATTTTTCTTGCAGTAAGATCCATTCATATAAAACATGAGAACTCAGAAGTCATACTGATTTTCATTTTTCTAGAACAGCGATATAGATAGGCCTGTATGGTTTAAATGTAATCCCATAATCTTAAAGCAAAGGCTTTTAAATGTCCTTATTAAAATTGAAGGGCTTTCGTATTTTTACTTGTCACAGGAAATACTGTTTGTTGAAAGTTTACTGCAAGTGTTTCATATGAAAGTGAAACTAAATAGAAAAAAAAGGTATTTGTTTTCGGCGATATCCAGCAGCCGTGGTTGTAGCGTTGGTATAAATAAGGCATGATTTCTTTGCTGGAGCAGCTTGGCTCAGCTTAGGAGTTGATGGCACTGTCCAGGAAGAAACGGGTACAAGTGAACTTTCCACACCATCAGAATTTTAGGAATTAAAAACTCTAACGACCTGATTGAATTGTATGCCAGCTGTTTGCTTAACAACCAAAAGATAGAGTTAAAACTATTGTTGAGAATGTAGGTGCTTCTCAGCCTGCGTATATGTGCAGATAAATTCTTAGAGCAACTTAGGTGGAAATGTTGATTGGGTTCTTGCCCTTTTGAATGTAAACAGTAACCTGTGATCATTTATTCATGGAGCCTTGTGTGTCTATTTTTTGGGGCACCGGGTTAGAGGGTAGCAATAGAAAGGAGCTTACAGGCTGCTGGGGACACCAAGGTAAATGATAACGGTAGGGTCTGGTCAGTGCTCCGGTGAGGCAGAGGCAAGTCCGAGGCAAGTCCCGGTGGAAGCACAGGGCTGGGGACAAGGAATCTGATGTGGGAATGCTTCCCAGAGGGGGTGATGGTTCAACTGCTCTTGGAAGATAGGTAGAGTTCCCAGGCAGAGAAAAGGGAAAAGGGCTCGGAGTTCAGGGAGGCCGAGAGGACAAGGCCAAGTGGGTGAAAGGGAGTTGAGGAGGTAGAAACAGTGCAGCTGTTCTTTTTTAAAGAATATGAAGAGGAAGGGGGAGGAGTGGGGCAGTAGCTTTGGGGATGGAGGGGAAAGTGTCCTGGCATTTTGTTTTAGTTTGGGAGGAGCTGATGTCAATGTCTCAGACTCTGGCCTCACCAGTGAACACTGGAAGTGTATTGTCTGCACTGATGAGCACACTGTCCACACTGGGTCACTTCCTCATCTGTTTTCTGCACATCTGTTTTGGGTAGAGGCCTTGTATCCCATGGGAAACCATTTGTTGCTGGTGGTATGGGAGAAACCCATCGAAAGAGGATTTCTGCTCTACCTTCCCTGAACATTTACTTCTCTGCTGTCACTTCCAGAGCCTCCTGAGATTCTGCTTTGGCACCTCCAGAATTTGGCCTCTGCTCAGGTAGGCTTTTCCATGAGGAATCAGGCCTCATTCCCTCACCTTACCTGTGTCATAGCCCCCATACTGCTGCTGTGTGGCTGCTCAGTAGTTATTTCAAAGTCGGAGGGCTTTAGCTGCCCATGTACCATGATGTCTTAAGTTCTGGAGTATCTCCAGCCTCAGTCAAGATTGGATCTGTTTGTCTTTATAAACTCAGACTCCCTCAGCTACACATCGGCCTGGAAATGTGATGTAGGTTATGAAATCTGCTCCGGAAGTGGGGGTTCCAGCACACGCTACTGGTCAGATTCTAGCCTCAGTGGGCCTCCATTCACAGAATGATCTTTCTCAAACCCAGAAGACTGTCAGCTCCTTGAAGGCAGAGACCTTTGATTTCTGTATCCCCAGACCAGAGTAATGCCTCGGGCATAGCCAGTGTACCCAAGAGTGTGTCAATGAAGAAGCTTGAAAAATTTAAACTTTAGTTTGTGGATTTTTGTCAGCCTGCTAATAGAAACCATACCCATTTAAACACAGCTGGGCTGGGTTTAAATTGTTTTGCAGTCATAGAACTTTGGAGCTAAAGCTCATCTCTTACTCCGTACTGCATGTAGCAGATGCTCAGGAAATGTTTGTTCCTGTCCTGTGTTCTCTGTCTGAGTGAACGGCACCACCCGCTACCGCTCTCCATCGGATTCATTCTAAATCCCTGCTTCCGAATGTGTCTCCGTTACCTACTCCTCGTAGTTGCCCAGATCCTGGTGGCCTTCATTTTTAAGTCTTTGAGCCTTCATTTACCTGGAGACATTTTCAGTTGTCTCCTTCCCAGCCTCCCAGCTCTAGACTGGCCTTTCTCGTCCGATCTTCACTTTGCTGCCAGAGTGGTTTGTTGAGCTGTCATCTCTGATTGCTGTGTCGCTGCTCAGGACTCTTCTTTGGCTTCTTAGTGCCGGCTCTCATTTGTTCACTTAATAAAATATATCTGTATATTTTGAGTTGATGATATACTCAGCAGGCTCTCGGATACAGAGCTGAATAAAACCGACACAGGCTTTATGTGGACGGAACTTAACATTTCTGCTAGTGAGGGACACAGATTGTGAATCGCATAGTCACACAAATAATTACATAACCACGATTGTGATAAGAGCTGGAACGGAAAGGACGTATGAGAACACGCGGAGCTGTGTGCAGGGGTGTGGGGAGAGGTGGGGGTCAGGAAGGTGACCTTTAGGCTGGGCTCGAAAGCACAGGCATGGCTAGCCAGACCTGAGGAACATCAGCAGATTTGCATGGAATATAAGGCTGTTGGGTGTCTGGCCCTTGCCTCCCTGTCTGACCTCATCTGTGCTCTGCATTTATTTTTGTCCCCGACACACCAGCTCTCAGATCTCTCCTGGAAAGCTTCTTCCATCACCATTTTCAGTGCTTAGTTGAAACACAGGAAAATCAGTTTCTCCGAGCTCCCTCCTATGAACTCCCCAAGGCAGATTTAGGGGAAAGAGCACCTCTTCTGGCATGGCTGTCCCCGAGAGATCATGAACACCTTGAGGCAGGGACCCTCGTATGTCCGATAGAGGTGTGTTGGGACTATTAAGGGTACTGATATCAAAATAAGATGGGGAGCTGAGTGGAACAACCCCCTTCAATATCAGACTGCCCTGGGAGGAAGGCCAGTTCTAGAAATTGTGCAAAAATGTGTGGTTTTGATCCCACTCACACCTTGCCTATATATATCGTCCCTTGTAGCTTTCATAGTAACTGTCCAGGGTGGCGGGTATCTTTGCCTGTTTGAGAAGTTGGGTAGCGTGTTGGGCTCCTGATCCTGTGGTCCTTGTCCCACTGCACTGTGACGCTGCTCCTTAAATTTGCTGAATAAATGAATTTTGATCATTTTTAAAGTAGAGCTCTGGTGAATTTCATAAGAAAAGTTGACCATGTGCTATTTTGAAATGGCCGATCTTAGGGTGCTGTCCCAGCTTGTCCCTGATGTTCCACACCCCCTCAATGGACACACACACCTCTTCGGCCATCATATTGTCTTCTTGGTGCACAGCGGGGGGAACATGTTTGAATAATACATCTAACTGGATTTAATTAATGTTCAGCCTTCTATATTAGAGAGATTATATTTTAGATAATGTAAGTTTTACAGTATAACTTACCTAAAGTCAATTTCAGTTATTATTTTTTTAAATTATAGTGGACATGCAATATTATATTAGTTTCAGGTGTACAGCATAGTGATTAGACATTATTATAACTTACAAAGTGATCACCCCGATACTTCTAGTACCCACCTGGCACCATACATAGTTATTACAGTATTATTGACTACATTCCCTATGCTATACTTGACATCCCAGTGAGATCAAATTCATTTTAGATTTAGGACACCGTACTAACAAACAGTTCATGGACACGTTATGTAGCCAGAGTATAATGTGTCCGTGGATCTCTTTTTAAAATGGTCAAAATAGTGTACAGCCTTTTTATTTGTTCACTTTTTATTTACTTGGACCAAGGCAGAATGGTTGAATTTTAAAGTAAAGTTTCTGTTTTACCTCATTTTCTACAGGTTAATTCTCTCTTTATTGGCATAAAGTATATGAGAACTACTGAAGAAGTTTGGAATGAGAATATTCAGTCTGCACTTTTAGGGCTTGATTTTATCCTTTGCACTCCTCTATTTTGTGAGAACTTGCTAATCCTCTTGTGAAGGAAATCCTTTTTTTGGAAACAAATGGAGGGAATGTAATTTGCAAAGTCCGTTAAAATTGCAGTTTTGGAAAGGATAACGTTTAGGCAGAAAATAGAACCTCCCTACATTTTACCTGAATTACTTGCTAGGTGTTGGCTCTTCTGTGCCACTGAGAAGCAATCTTGTCATCACACATTTGGATGCAAACTCTAAAGGTGAAGTTATTTCAAGGAACCATTCCTATTTTAGATGACCAAGAAGTACCTCATTCTGTCTTTTGAATGGTATTTGGCTGTAACTTTCTCAAATGCAGTTTCTAAACATTTCAAAAAGTTGTGTTTTTTTGCACTTTCTTTTTATTCATTTATTGATATTTTAGAGAAACATTGATTTGTTGTTCCACTTATTATATAGTCATTGGTTGCTTCTTCTATGTGCCCTGACCGGAAATCGAACCTGGAACCTTGGTGTATTGGGACGACGCTCTAACCAACTAAACGACCTGGCCAGGGCTATCAAAAAGTTTTTAATGGAGTTATTTGTTAATGATGTTTATTAGGTGAGTCTTTGGTGACTCCAGGGAATTTCCTCCTCTTTTTTTTTTTTTAATCCTCACCCAAGGATACTTTTCCATTTTTTGTTCAGATAGAGTGGGAGGGAGAGAGAGAGAGAGAAACATTGACACGAAAGGGACACCTCGAGTGGTTGCCACCTGCACAACCCATCCAGGGCCAGGGACAAACCGCAACCAAGGCACGCGCCCTTAGCGGGAACCTAACCTGGGTCTCTCTGGACTGCAGGCCAACGCTCTAACCACTGAGCAAAACTGGCTAGGGCGGAATTTTCTCCTCTTAATTAATTGCTGGGGCAGGTAACTTGCATGGCATGTCAGAATTGGAGAAACAACAGGAATGTCAAAGTAGATTTATTCTAGTGCTGTTGTTGTCCTGGGAATTAGAAAGGCCTCGACCAAAGGGAGCCAATGTTCTTCCTGGAAAAGATGCAGGGCCGAGTCAGTGGGACCTCCTGTCCGGTCCAGGCAGCTCTTACCTGGTGTCAGACGGGGCCAAAGAACGTCCTCAACCTCTTGAATCTGCTTTCTTGTGTGAAACGGGCATGGTACTTGTATTATATTGCTGGCTGTGAGGAATAATAGGTACAGCAGTATAGAGAGTCCACTACATATATAGCTGCCCAATAATTACATCGTTTACACTTTTTGAGACCCGCACTTGAACAAAACTGGAATTCTAAAATGAGCGTTTGTGGCAGTAAAAGACATTTTAAAAATTTGAAACGAGACAAAGGAGAGTCAACTGTGTTGTGCTATAGGACTCATTTCTACATAAACCTACTTAGGGTAGGAGTAGATTTTTAGGAAAGTAATACAGGTGATAATGAGAGAGATCTAATAAGTCAAAGCAAAACAAAACTGATGCTTTGTGGAACTTTCTGGTGACCAGAGGGCTTTTAAAATTGTTTTAAATTCTCTAATGACCTTATTCTTATGTTGCTTTCATGTTCATAACCTGAGTTTTTCTCTTCTGTTAAGGCCTGTACCAGCTCTGCGATGAGAAGCTGCTTCTGTGCATTGTTAACTCTTTAAGGACTTTAATTAACCTTAAATATAATTCAAAGATAGATTTGTGGTGACTTAGTATGGCAAGTTTTGCATTAGTTTTGAATAGATGAGGGTTCCTGACAGTTGCCTAATGGTGAGCCTTTAGGTATTTTTCAGGATCAGCCTTCTTAGCCTTACTGAATTATCCCACTTGTTCCCCAGATCATAACCTCTCCCAAACTAGTGTTCTTTCCAGAGTCAGCCCACCACACGTACTCTCTGTTGCTGTTTCCCCACTGCCGGGAACTGTGTTCCATTCCGGGTGGAAGGGCAAGCCTGGTCTGGGGGCTGCCCCGTCCGTGGGGCTCCTGCCCTTAGTAGCTCTCCTTTGACATGCCTTACCTAGGCTAACTTGTATAATTATTATTTGTTATATATAGATAACTTAGTTGTAAATTTCTAAAAGATGGGAACTGTGTTGTGTCCTACACAATTAGGGCTCAAATATTTACTAATGAAAATAGACTCAGTGTTCCTGTTCCTTCCATGGCCTGAAGGAATTACGTACCTTGTTCCTTAAGGGAAGCAAAATATTTCATTGAGTCAAATAATTTATCTTGTTTATTAACATTACATAAATAGGCTTTAGACAACATTTTCAGGGAAATTGGTTTATTTATTTATTTATTTTATTGATTTTAGAGAAAGAGAGAGGGAGAGACAGATAGAAACATCAATGAGAGAGAACATCGATTGGCC